GGGGAAACACGATTCCTGTGCTCACCGTGGACGATATTGCGCTGAACCTTCGGCCGAACGATAACTTGATGTAGTATCGATGCTAGCAAGCGGTTCCGTGTCAGTGCTCATCCGGTAGGCTGAGGATGCTCGTCTTTGTGCGCGCTCGGGGGGGTGTCACAAAATGCGTCCCCGCCCATGAAAAAGCGTTTTGGGTTTCCACAGAACGTCACTTACCATGAAACGCGGCGGAATTTCAGTCATCCTCCATGCTTCGCTCTATATATTGTCATCTTCCATAGCCCCACGCTTCACTTTGGGAGGGGGGGGTTGGGGGAGAGGTAGAAAGAGCAAGAGAGCTGTGGGGTTTGTTTCTTATTCGACACACTCCCCCGTAAACCCTCGTTTCTAATGTAGTAGCGCNAGGCTGCTGTGAGCTGTTGTGACGTATGGCGTGCACGCGTTTCGTTACCTCAAGGGTCCATGATAAGATGTTATTTGAGTATCTCCGGACCAGGACCCATCATCTGCTGACACCTGGTCGCCCCGGTGGTCTAGTGGGTAGCCTCGCAGCCTGCTATAAGGGCCAGGTCATGGGTTCGAGTCCCGGCAGGGAGAGTTTTTTTCTCACTAAATGAATCCTGGTCTAGGATGAAAGCGACGCGCTGCAAAGCTCGTTTGTTAGTAAACCATAATCGACTTCGTAAGTCGCGAGGGAAGGGATTGCTGTACCCTTCTCGCGATAAAAATACCTCAGGCATGAACCGCAGGAGGGGGTCCAGCTCCCCCCTTCTATGTGACCCCGGTTGGGTCGTCTAGCTAGAAGAAGTGGAGGATAGGGGCCAGAGGGGCAGACGACAGAGTCCAATGATGGGAGTAAAAATAAAAAAATAAAAAAAACGTCGAAACCGACTCCTGTCGTGCCAAATCTCATCCCTTAGTTTCTCTCCAGCGGTTTTGTTTACCTGCCGCCTGCTCCAGCTCCAAGAAATCGGTTGCCTAGATCGCAAGCTTGCCTAGATCGCAAGCTCGGCTTCAAGGCGTAGTCTAAATCAACGTCGAAACATGTGCCGCGCTCGTATCGTCCCAACAACAGCACAGGATTGACTCTTAGCACGCTCTGAGGCTGATCACATCCTGTCTGTATTCGTGAAATGTTGGCGTGGTTGTTGCCGCACCGACCCGTGTCCACTCTCTTAAGGCGCTACTGGTTCGCACGCGACACCGGCGGGCTGAGCGGCCTAACGGCATCGCGTGTCGATGTTCGTCGTCGGGTGTCTGGTTTGATCCCAGTCCCCTGCCCTTGTACGCGGTTTTGGCCGAGCGTGAGGCAACCCGAGCGCGACTGTTGGCTTGCGGGAGGAAATACGGACAAAGGGGAGATCCAAGACGGATAGCGGCCGAAGAACGCCGAGGACAGGGCGGAGAAGAAGGCATAGAAGTTGTGCCCAGTTTTGTTCCCCATTTGTCCACGCTCCGGTGGTAAATTATATGAAGAGGCCGATACGATTGGCCATGATGTATGACTAGAAGGACACTGGCGTTCACGCCAGGGGGCATATTTTCGTTACGTGCGGAGGTTCGCAAGAACAGTAGAATAGCAGGGAGGACTTGTTGCCAACGCCGTTTTTGCCGCGTGTCCCGAAGAGTTTCTAGTGACGCAGACATGCAGCGCTTTGTAGTATCGACGAGATACTCCATCGCAATACGCACGTGGGATCTTCATCTCTTGAGCTTGTGATAGTGTGCGATGCCGGTTTCCCTATCTATGTCGGTTGGCGAGAACCTGAAGCCGTTGTGACGAGATGGGTCGCACTGACCTGGCCGGTATTCTGTGTTGGCAAGAATGCGTTGTCGATCGTGGTATGTTTCCATTGAGGAGTAGTTTGGAGACCTCCTTCAGGAAGAGTACAATCTCTTCAAAGTCTGTCGAGGACGATCCCCTCTTTCACATTGCCATCGCGATGAGCCGTCTATTACTTAATGGAAGAGACCCCGGGTAGGCGGGGACATGCATTTACCCATCTTTATGTAAACGTAATATTTGGTCACTTTTCATGCTTCATTCAGCATTTCTTTCTGTCGCGGCAACGAGTCTTTTCTCGCGATTCCTTCTGAGGGACACGTAGGTGGCTCGTCGGTACATCAACGCTGATGCCCGAAGCGGTAGACCTCCGTGGTGCATGTGGTTATGGTTGACGGTCACAGTTGCGAAAACTGGCTCTATACCTCGGGGGCGCGTTCGCGCAGACAAAACCTGGCGAAACAATTGAAACCCATTGACAACGACGGTTTGACATAACAGTGCCTCGTTGCTGGTCCATCTTTACATCCATCAACCCATTAAATTTCGCTGATTCCACATCGATCGTCGCTGTGACTCGTCGTGCCATCGTAGTCTATCTCAGAGTTTTAGGCGAAATTCAACTTCCGAGGAAAAACCGATTGCCTGTAGATGTTTCCTCCGCTCAAAACGGGTATAGACTACAAGTCACCACGAACGAACGTCCTGGTTTCTTTCCATCCAGCGTAGCGGTGTCGACCACACTTCGGCCGCAGTAGCCCCTCCACCGCGCCCCGCAGCAAGCCCAGACCTTGAGCAGCCTCTCGGCAAGACCAGGATTTCCACGGGCAGCGTGCTCGACCATCGTACGTAGTAGCCACTACTCCGCGCACTGCTCGGGACCAGACGACGAGTAGGAGACGAGCTTGAAACCTCAGGTTCCACCCGTTCGATTTCGGAGAGCGCGCTTCGGGAACGGACAGATAATTTGTGATGACATGCATGGCGTTGGTGATGACGACCTTCGCAGCAACAACAAACAACAGCTAGCTAACACACCGGTGATGCGTGTTGCCTTGAACGAATTTGAATCCTCTTCTAGCAACCACAGACAGACGGTCGCTTTCGTTCCGACTCCACATAATATCTCATAATTCGTGTTGATACACTAGACTACTCCTTTCGTCCTCCATCAGATCAGTAGACTACCAGTCTAGAAGCTGAGCGAGACGTGCGTGTTGCACATTCTACTTCGAAACGCAATCTTGTAAGAGTAAGTATCACGCATTCGAACTACAAGTACATACTTGTTGTTTGGGGCACGACAGAGGTTGACCCTCTTCTTGTTTGTATAGCGATAGGTGGAGGAGCTCGAGTACAAAAAGCAGTGTAGTCTGTATCATGAAACATGGATCATACACGGATGAATATGATTTGATGATGGAGGCCGGATCCATCCCATGGTGCATCCGATCCATGGGGGGCCGAATGCCGGGGGGTTGTACCCTAGGGATACTGTGGCTTCACGTTTCGCAACTACGGGACCCCTCAACAAGGCACCTGCTGGTGGTAGTACAGACCACAGTACACAAGCACAGCCACAGATCGCCACAGGCCCACGGCATCACGAGGCCGGCAGAAAGAATAGTCTAGACAGAAAAAAGTGCGGAAGAAACGTGGCCCTGCAGGTTGTGCTTCGTCAAGGATCCTCGACTTCAGCAAGGAGGTCTATCTACCTTGATATCGAGTCATCTCTACCTTCTTTGTCTGCAGCTTCGAGGACGCCGCGGCGAAGTTCAATTCGTCATCGTCGTCAAGCATGCACCTGGACCCGAAGCGTGCTCTGCTCGAAGAGGCGGAGCTCGAGATTTTCAAGCTCCTCTCGTTCGGCGCTACTCCCGAGCGATGGGCGGAGTGGCTTCGGGCTCCACAGGAGCATGCCGCAGCCCGCGGCAATATCGGCCTTGTCGAGAGACTGCTGGAGGCCGGCGCCGACGGCGGAGCAGGGTGGAGAGGGTGCCGCAGCCGGACAATGCTCGACGCCGCTGCCCTGGGTGGAAATGCGGACGTGGTGACGAAGTTGCTTCGATCAGAATGTGTGCCGGATGTCAATGTGGTATCGGTGTCGTCGAAGAGATCGGCGCTGCACCTGGCCGTTACATGGAGTCACGAAGCGGCAGCGAGGACGCTGATGATTGCTGGAGCCGACAATCACCGGGTCGACCCAGTGAATAGATATACCCCGTTCCATGTCGCCGCTGAAGGAGGACACGACGACCTGGTTGATAATTATCTGACCGGTGGAGCTTGTCCGAATTCTCGCAGCAGGGTCGGCCGTACTCCGCTACATCTTGCTGATGGACTTGGCAACAATCGTGATGTGTCTGCCCTGCTCGGCGACGCCAACACCCACATGGACGCTCTCGACAACGATGGGTTTTCCCCATTGATGCTGGCGTCTAGAAATGGCCACCGTTCTACAGTTGAGGTTCTTCTTCGGGCTGGTGCCGACACCACCCGACGTGCCACCGATAGTGGGGACTTTTCACACATGGCGGCGCTCGATGTGGCGGCAGCACAAGGACATGTTCGGGTGGTCAAAGCTATACTTGGGAACGGCGGAGACGCGAGTGCTGTTGACGACCACGGCTGCACCGCTTTGCACTATGCCGCTCTACACAAGCACGGGGGTGAGGTGGTAGACGTGCTTCTCGACGCTGGAGTCGATGTCAATGCCAAAACGGCAGATGGATCGACACCTCTCCGCTACTGCGCCTTAATGAGACATGACGAAGCCATGGTTACCCTTGTGAAGCGGGGGGGCAACGTCAATGAAAACACCAGCAATGGCGTGTCGGTGTTGCATTGGGCATGTGCGATACCTCGACCAGGTGTGGACAGAGCGGTCGGCCTCCTGTTGAGATGGGAGGCGTTTGCAGCCGCCCTCGACAGCCGTGGTGAAACACCCTCCAACCACCTTGAATTGGCCGCTGCACTGTTTGCCGGCACCTCTGCAGCCCCCCGAAACTCGGTCAGAGAAGAGATTCAACGCGCACTAGTGCTGCTGGCGCGTGCTCCGGCGGACAGGACGTGGAGGCGCCGTTGCTGGCTGGCGATGCTTCGCGCGAGGGCGGGGAGGGAGAGGGAAGCGTGCTCCAGTAATAGCAGTACTGGCAACGACCGAACCGAGGCAATCGATCGAAAGCTGGTGGGTCACGACGAGGACGACGGTAGCAAGGAAGTGGGGAAAACGGACGCCGGCGGCAGCGGGAGTGGGCCAATGGATGGCAAAAAAGGTGGTCCGGGCAGGACGAAGAGACGGTGGCTGAGGAAGGGGTATTGACGGGCTTGGTCCCGGCTCTGCTGGATATGAAATCGGAGGAAGTGTTCCGCACGATCGTCTGCCTTCTGTGACAGCGGCAGGTGAGTTGCAGTCGTTGCAGTATGCGGTGCGTGTTTTGTCCTCGTTGTTCTCGTTTACTTCTCGCTTCATTCTGCTTGTCTCCTGGAGATACCCGAAGTTCATCTTGCTCGTGGTTTACCTGTCGATCTTCGTTAATGTTGTCGCGTTTTTGACCTAACTGCGGCATGCTATGTTTTGCGATGAATTTTGGACCAAGAAGCGGGGAATCAAGGAAAAGTCACATGTAACCGCTCTACTTTTTGCAGGAAACCGCATGTTTGGTGCATGCGAAAGTCTGGCGTACTTGGTATGTTGTTGCTTGCACATACACAGCATTGGCCCGCTCATAGGGCATGGTTTCTGAAACTGCTGTGATCTTGTCTGAGGTATGGCTTACACGTGTTTGTTCCCCAAAAGATCCGATCTATTCAAGATGTAGCGAGAGTATCTCCGGAAGTCTGGGCCCTTCTCTCGAAGCGTCGAAACCCACTCTGGTTGTGCCAACCTCCTTGCCTTTGTCCCTGCATAGTTCCAAAAATCAAAATATGACAATCGCTCTGCTGGAAACCTCGAGAGGACGGGACCGACGATGTTGTCTAATCGAGCGAGAAGTCAAAAACACACCTGGCCCAAGGGTAAGAGCCAGCAGCGAGTGAAGTTTTCCAGAGGGGTTTTGTGCTCTTTTGTTCACTTGCTCACGGATGTCTCGCCGACGAAGAACCGAGATGCCTCAAGAACGGTATCCGCAAGGATGTGGTGTCATGGACTGTTGGATAAGGCCAAGGTGTGGCGCCGTGAGGTGCCCAATGCGCCCAAAATCGGTATGTGTTGACGCAAAAGTCAACGACCGAGAGCGGTCTGTTCGATTTCGGTGAATTCGACTGCCATGGGTTTGGTTTTCCACCAAAAACGTTTGGAAGGAGGCGACAGCAGCAGCAATGCCACTTCCGAGGGAATTCGCTCTTTGGTCCATCTTTCATGCCAAAGGTTTGGTACATCGGATCAACTCAAAATCGAGCTCTGAATGACCGGCGAACTCGCACCTCGCGGCGATCCCCTTCCATTTTCAGCAAATTTCTGTATGTGGGGAAAGTCCCCGAGTAAAGTTTATGCTTCAAAACAAAGCCAGCGTTAGCTGTGGAGATGCAGGGAAAGTAGGGTTGGGTTGTTCGATCGTATGTCGCGGGGCCGCTGCCAAGCAGAGCATGACACTCCCTGCTACACACGGTTCATGGAGAGGCTATCGGCACTCTATAATACCACGGAAACCGTGGCCATTCCTTGTAGCCGGAAGACTGCTCACCGGTTAAGCCTGAAACCGGGCCGGCTCGATCCGGTCTCGATGAGAAAATACCAATCGTCACCAGTGATGAAGAGACTGATGATCAACGCAGCGATGACGCGGTCGTTCCGACTTTTCCGTGCGAGAGAGGGTAGTCGCAATCCTTTTTCTCGGCCCTAAGGATAGGCGAAGCATCAAACCTTGAACAAGAAATATGGAGAATACAGCTTACTCCCTCGGGATGTCCTTGCTACTGCCGTTGTCTCCTCCTTCGAAAGGTTATCGGTGGAAAACCAAACCGTGATTAGACAATTCCCTCGAACTTGAACCAGCAGCTCTGACGTTATTTTTATAGGGTCAACACAACCATTTCTCCCGATACTGTTCGAACGATACCCTGCCGTGTTAGCACGTGCTACATACAACACGTTAGATTATCTCAGGCGTTGTTCTTTGTCCGCTGCCGGCTCTCCGTCTGCTCCAAAGAAATTTTTTCCTGGCTCACAAGCTCAGCTTCAAAGGTAAATCAACATCGGTACGCACATATCGTCCCAAACACGCAGCATTGGCACCCGCTGAGGCTGATCCGATCCTAATTCCATGGGATATTCGCGTGCTCGTTGCCGCTCTGACCCATGTTTGCTATCTTCAGGTGCTACCACCTCGCATGCGACACAGGCGGACTGGGCGGCCCGGCAGCATCGCGTGTCGATGTTCATTGTTAGGTGTTTGGATTGATCCCTGTACCCTGGCCTTGTACGTCAGCGTGAGGCAGCCCGAGCGCGGTGACCGCCCTGAGGGAAGAACAATGGACAAGCGGCCGAGGAATGCCCCGAGAACAGGGCGGAAACGTGCAGAAGCTGTGAAAGTGCTTACGACCTTTTGTTCCCGTTTGTTCGCGCTCCTGTGCGCGCTCCTGTGGCAGAGTAATGTCGGTGCGATTGCCTATGTTGTTCAAGTAGAATGACTGGCAGTCATGCCAGGGGACGTAGCTTCGTTACGTGCAAACTTTCGCAAATTCCGTAGCAGGAACATTCTGTCAATGCCGTTTTTGCCCCGCGTACCAAGGAGACTTCTAGGGGACATGATCCCCCTTTGTAAAGGCCCTGAAGCCGTTGTGACGGGACGGATCGCGCTGACTTGCGGGTACTCTGTATTTAAGTGGCAGAATGTGTTGTCAGTCATTGGGTATATTGCCTTTGAGGACTAGGGTGGACACTCCTTTCCAAACGGGTACAATCTCCCCAAAGTCTGTCGAGCACGTTTCCCTTTTGTCACCCCGACTGGCGTCGCGACGAGAGTTCTGTTTGTGCAAGAGAGCCTAGGTAGGCGTCGGCACTTGCTTCCTCACGTCCACGTAACACAAAATTGATCTGTTGGTTTCAACATGGCAATAGCATGGGAGGAACCACTCGGAGTACGCATCCGCGGTATATCTTGGAACTCGAAAATCTATGTAACATGGAATTTCCTACATTCGTGTAGTTTCGTTAGATATGTTTGGACACATGACACAGGGGGTGTGCCCCATGGACGCTAGGGCGTTCACGGCGGTTCGTACAACGTCAAGGAATTCCCCTCTTGGGATCTCCTCGCTCCGGTGCATATCGCACAGCCGAGACAAGGGCACTCTGTTGTACCGCCTCCTTTTCCCATTTCCAGCCGGAATGTCGGCCCCGATCGCCAATGCACTGGGAATGGCCTCGTCGTTACCAATTAGCTGCCACATCCAGCCATGTCGAAAATACAGTAAGTATCTCCAATGAGCAAAATAAGAGATTTTTGGTCTCCCTTACTGAATGAAATGGCTTCAATTGAAAGGTGTAGCACGCCACAAGGATGTTTTTGCCATTATTTTCGTACTCTTAACTTACTTTCATCAAGCCGGGCTATCTACAACCGACGACGTTTTTTTGTGAAGTGATGTGACAGAAGCGCACTTCCACAAGCCTAACAATTGTCTCTCTCAACCCGTATTCAAATCAAATAACAAAAACGTGATCACACCCCGTATGTCGGCCAATACAGCGAGAACACGGCATCTTCAGCCCTGCAGCGCGCGGATACACCTGTCTACAATCACGAGAGTGCCGGGTGAGCTGTTCGGGATCCATGGGCAGCAGGAGACTGCATGGTCATCATCCGTAACGATTGGCAATTGAATCATGGTATTGAACGAGGCCGCTGCTGACTGCGGTATCCACGTATGTAGCATTGTGGACTTTCAGCATTATATTTCGGTTGTTCCAATCTCGCTACTAGTGAACACCCCCACCTATCCGCCGGAGGGGTCGCCTTCCGCTCCAACCAAATAATTACAAACAAACGTTAGACTAACCCTTCCCAACCTAAACAATGGCAACGGGCAGAAATCCATTAAGACACACCTCCACAAAAAGGCTCACTTGCCCCGAAAAGAGCATTCAGCAACTACGCGTCACCTGTACGCTCTGCGGCAGTGTCGTGAGAGATCGTCCAACGCAACCACGTTATGTGCGCGCACTACAACCCCCACGACGATGCTATGCAAACCACCATTGTGGTAATCAATCTACGTCGGGTGTCACGCCCTCTTTGAGTGTAAAACGCTGGATATATTATACGCCCAGAGATACATTTGAAGACAAAAGAAGCTTCAATTAATCCGTCATCTTCGAAACAATGAGCGCTTGCGCCTACCTCAAGGGTTTCGGGGCACGCGCAAGATCGCCCCCCCTCCCACAAGCCATGGAATGGGTCAAGGTTGTAGAGGACGTATGGAAGGGGCTCGACATCGGCGAAGATGAAACGCTGGAAGCGAAGGGTCTACAGGGGTTCAAGGAGAAGATATCTGTTGCTTGTGCCGAGAGAGAAGAACAGAATCTAAGGAAAGAATCCAAGGATAAGGAGGGTCTAGAAGTGTACGGAATGTTGAAGGAAGGAATAGGGTTCAAGGACTACCTACATGGACCAATGGATGCAGGAACAAAGCTTAAGGTCAAATTCAGGACCGGGGACATAGGCCTTCGAGAACGTCGACGAAGACATAGGACGGTAGACGACGAACACGACGACTTCAAATGTGATTGCGGCTTTGAATGCGAAGACCGTGTTCATGTAGTCGCGGAATGTCCGTTGTACAACAAGGAGAGGGAAGTGTACGTGACTGAGCTGGGAAAAATAGATGGAACGTACAGGGAGATGTTTGAGGCATGGAATAGAGAGGAAAGGACGGTAGCTGTACTGGGGCATAGGAGGTGGGTTGAAAAGGCGGGAAGGGATATCGTTAGGATAGACAGACTAGGGAAGACATTTTTGAGCCACCTTAAGCAAAGTAGAAAGGAACGATTGGCCATCGGCGATCGGCCCTGTGGGCACAATGCTCCGTCCTCTCGAGGACGCGTGGTCAATGATCTAACCGCGAAGGCATGCAAAACATAAGAGTATACGCCCCCCCCCCCCCCCCCCCTCCCCCTCGCAATCTAGACTTCAGTGGGTTGGCGCTGTTGGCAAAGCGCTGTAAAACACGCCACCCCAAATATAGCCCCCATAGTATGCGCTACCAAAGACGCGTGACGCATGGATGCGTGGAGTGAGGATTGCTTACGGAAACCTCACAGGTTGAGTGATGTAGGAGATTGCCGGACACATAGACGTGTTGAGTGA